AATCTATTTTAAAAAATAAAAAAGAAAAGAAAAACACACCAGGCTTGTGTGCATGTGCACCCAAAATCGCAACAGAATGAGAAAAAGAGAACAGATTGTGGCATGGTTGCACCTCATTGTGGGGGGCTCTCTCTCTCTCTCTCTCTCTCTGGTAAGCAAACATATCCTCTGGAAATTTTAAGGACAAGCAGCACTTGAGTAGTACATGACCAACCTGCAGGTAAGTGATTCTAAAGACGTCGCCTTCCTTTCCTTATTCTCTGTCAGCAAGAATACATCTCAGAATCTCCCCCTCCCAAGCCATCTCTGAGTCTCACCTCAGTACTAACCCTTCCTGATGATAGCTGGGTAGAAATGGGGCAGGGGTGTGATACACACATGCACAGCACACACACACACATGCACACCCACCTTGCTGCCATTCCTCTGAATAGGACTACCCCAAGGAAGACAATAAGAGCATAACAATGGTTGGGACCAGCAGGTGGTATGGTGGTTAAGGCGCTGGATACTTCCACATGGCCGACCAGGGTTCGAGTCCTGAATCTGGTGGCTTGCTTTCTCACTTCCTCTCTCTCTCACTCTCATCCTCTCTCTCTGGTCAAATTAAAAATAAATGAATGAATAAATAAAATAAAATAAATAATTATATTTTAAAAAGAGCATAACAATGGCAAAAGACAGACTCAGCCCACAGGGGAAGATCTTCAGTTCCCATCCAGGGGCCTTCCTGAGTACACAAGGCACACGCATGATCACAGCTGGGTGAAGCTGGGTAGATCTCGGCATAAAGACTGTTGTGTGTGTGTGTGTGTGTGTGTGTGTGTGTTGGAGTGGGGGGGGAGGGGTTCCTCTCTCTCTTCCCTCCCTAATGGAAGAAAAAAACACTTCAAAAAAACAATGGCAGGGGCTGGCAGGTTGCGTGGTGGTGAAAGGCACTGGAATCCCACATGGCCAACTACAGTTCAAGTCTCGGACCTGGCAGCTTGCTTTTTCCCTTTCTATTTCTCTATCTGGTCAAATTAAAAAATTATAACAAATAAATAATTAAATTACATTAAAATTTTTTAAATTCTTCTTAAAAAATGGCAAAAGTGCTAAGACCTCCAGTGCCTAGGCCTCCCCTCACCAGTCATGGGTGCAGCCACACTGCATTCCTACCCTCCCTCCTCAGGTCTTACCTCCCGGACTTCACACCCAGCCTGGAGGTGACTTTCCCAAGTGCCTCCTTCACTTTAACACCCCTCTCTCCTTCCAGTCTCACTGAAGCCTTGCCCTGGAGTCACTCCAAGGAATCAGGAAACAAACAGAACACATTTAATTCATCATTTCTGAATGCTTTAACCTGTGCCTTTACAAAAGTGTTCCTGTAACTATAGTTCATTTCCTAATGACTAGGTTACTTTTAGAAATTAGAGGTTTCATTTATACTGAAACCTAATATTAAACTGTTACTCACACACCCAAAACCACTTCCAGCTGCTAGTGTATAACAACTTGCCTTTCCCACTTCAAGCTGAGAGTCTGTAAGTGAAGCCTGTGGGCCATCCAAAGTGACATTCTGGCGGCAGCTCATAGGACTGAGTTCATGCACTGCACAAAAGGAGCTGGATCCCACTCTGCCAACCAGGGATCAAGTCCCTGCCCCAGCGGCTTGGCAAACACTGAGCAAGCACATATGTGTCAGGATGGAGAACTAGCGGGAAATAAACTGCAAGACCAGGCCCCACTGGAATGTTCTCTCTCCCTCTCTCTCCCTCTCTCTCCCTCTCTCCCTCCCTCTCTCCCTCCCTCTCTCTCTCTCTCTTTCTTCCCTCTGGCATTAACAACAACAAAAAATATGGTATCCCAGGAACATGAAGGTAAGCTGCTGGAATGACGACTGCCTATTGACTGGCAGGATCGAGTGAGCTGGTCAGGTTACCCACCTTCCCTTACTCCTGCCGGATGTTCTGCGTCCAAAGCTGGGAGAGGTACAGAGAGAACACATGTTCCTTGCACCAGAGTTCATCCACTTCACTCAAGCCCACAGTTTCACACTCAGTTCTAAAAAATTTAGTTGGTTTCCAAGTTCATAACTAACCAGAAAAAAAAAATCTCTGTAGAGAAAATCATTTTATTAATTCAACCACCATTTGTTGAATGACAAAGAAATGCCAGGCACCTGGAGATAAAGCAGTGACCAATATACAGTAGCCCCATCCTCCCTGGCTCATAGAAGGAGAAAGCTCAGGCAGCAAAAGAGTACAAAGTACTGTAAATAATGTGCGATAGTTGTTAAAAAGGACATAAACAGCTGAGGAGCTGGTGCTTCCTTAGGATTACGAACAGCAACTATGGGGCCAGCCCATGTTTTGGTATTTAAGGCAGCTAGATTCTACATGGCCAACCAAGCAGCTTGAGTCCCGGACCTCGCTGGGCACGAGTGTACATACCCAAAACTCAGACAGGAGGGAGAGAGAGAGCACTGCGGCATGACCGTGCACTATGTGGGGTGCTTTCTAGCTTTCCCTGTCTCTTACTGGTGAGCACATGTGCCCTCTGACAAATTAACGAAAAAAAAAAAAAAAACTATGTTCCAGTACTGTACAAATATAGAACAAGAAATTCACACCATTTATTGAGCCCAAATATACTCTAAAACTTCATTTTAAAAATGAAACCTTGCCAGGGCCAGCAGGTGGCATGGAGATTAAGGGGCTAGATTCCCACATGGCCAAACACGGTTCAAGACACAGATGTGGCAGCTTAAAAAAAAAAAAATCACACTGGGCACATATGTGTGCATGTCCCAAATCCAGAAGAATGGAGGACCAGGGATTGCGGTATGACCATCCCCCGGTGGGTGATTTCTCACTTTACGTCTCTCTGTCTCACCCCAGAAAGTTCACACACTCTATAACAAAAACTTTAAAAAAAAGAAAGAAAGAAAGAAAGAAACCTTGCCCAGCCTAGATGGCACAGTCAGCAGCAACCTGAACTGCAGTGCTGGAAGCCACATGGCTGACCATGGTGGATCCATGGATCCACCTGAATACATGCTGAGAGACTGCACGCATACCCAAGATGCTGAGGAGCTGAAAAGCTGGAGGAAGGGGATCCCTGCATGACAAAATCCGGTCAAGCATGCTTCTCTCCCTCTCTCTGGTTTGCCCACGCACACTCT